TGTCTGATAAAAAAAATCTTAAAAAATATACCTAACAAACTGCTGACATGAATTGCAAGACGATACATCACGTCATCTACTAAGACAAAAACTGCATTAAAATAGACAAAGACTTTCTTTAGAACTCCTCCCTATGTTTACGTTATTGTGACCGTGTAGATTTGGACGGTACTTAGGAATTCGTCTGGAACTGCATCCGTTGTCTGCAGAACGAACGGGGTGAGGGAATGTTGGCGTAGGGGGGTACGAGGTATAGGTAGAGGCGCTGTGTGGCCGTGAGGTAAAAACAAAGTATAGGTGTGCCGTATTCCCGAAGGTCCACCGATATGCAATTCCAGAGATAAAACAAATGATGAAGGATTCCGTATTTATTAGATGAGTCTCAACGATGGCAACAGTTTACATGAATCAACAAACAGACCTATTATAAATGATCGAGTCGGATCTGGCCGAAGTGGCCCCGGACTCAGAGTCCTGACGAGTCGGACGTGGCCGAGACTGGCCTTCGTATATTCCAGACTAATGATTGAAATTATACATGACTATTTATAAGAATGTACATAATGAGTAAATAAGTGACAGGTGTTGACATTTTGTAAATTGAGTGAAAGATTCACAGGTATGGATTAATTAAATAAACTCAATGACGCTTTGATGTTTGGACATAAAAAAAAAACCCAGATAATTAATAGTGTTGTATTTAGAGATTATCAGTTCTTGGGACATAGCACTCTGTCTCTTTGTATCAACAGATCAAGAGTCCGAAAAGTGTCACTGGTCAATTAAACAATTAGATTCGCGAAACATATCGTGAGAAATAAAATATGACACAACTTAAAAATTGAAAAGTAAAGTCCAAAATAAAGTTCTTTCTTGAACAGTGAATTTTTCACTGTGATAATTTCCCACCGCTCCGGGAAAAACACGTCCTCGTGTTTGGAAAGAAATTTCACTTTAATTATTTTTCGGATTCTGTTCTTTCATGTTCTTGTAGACGTACACACCGGTAAACACTAGTTATTGAAACTATCCTGGTGGTTAACAAAGGAATGCCGAAAGTGTTGTTCATGGATGTTGAACTGGTGTTGTCCATCGTTGATACATTGGTCGAACAGTTCACGATGAGCAGAGTGGTTCAATGGGGGAACTCGCTTGCTCAAGAGGTTCGAGATCTGACCAATGCAAAATATATGCAGCGGCCCCGGGCGTTGTTTTACCCTTAGGATTCATCCACCAATTGTGACCGTGTAGATTTGGACGGTACGTAGGAATTCGTCTGGAACAGCATCCGTTGTCTGCAGAACGAACGGGGTGAGGGAATGTTGGCGTAGGGGGGTACGAGGTATAGGTAGAGGCGCTGTGTGGCCGTGAGGTAAAAACAAAGTATAGGTGTGCCGTATTCCCGAAGGTCCACCGATATGCAATTCCAGAGATAAAACAAATGATGAAGGATTCCGTATTTATTAGATGAGTCTCAACGATGGCAACAGTTTACATGAATCAACAAACAGACCTATTATAAATGATCGAGTCGGATCTGGCCGAAGTGGCCCCGGACTCAGAGTCCTGACGAGTCGGACGTGGCCGAGACTGGCCTTCGTATATTCCAGACTAATGATTGAAATTATACATGACTATTTATAAGAATGTACATAATGAGTAAATAAGTGACAGGTGTTGACATTTTGTAAATTGAGTGAAAGATTCACAGGTATGGATTAATTAAATAAACTCAATGACGCTTTGATGTTTGGACATAAAAAAAAACCCAGATAATTAATAGTGTTGTTTTTAGAGATTAACAGTTCTTGAGACATAGCACTCTGTCTCTTTGTAACAACAGATCAAGAGTCCGAAAAGTGTCACAGGTCAATTAAACAATTAGATTCGCGAAACATATCGTGAGAAATAAAATATGACACAACTTAAAAATTGAAAAGTAAAGTCCAAAATTAAGTTCTTTCTTGAACAGTGAATTTTTCACTGTGATATTACACAGCCGTGGGTAAGATATTTGTATTTGATATAATTATTTCGGTGACAATGATAATTTTATCACTTCCTTTAGATACATTAACTCTCTGGGGCATTTCCTTGTGCATTTGTCCTTGTAGTAACGATACAATACTTTTAATGTGTTTTTTTTTTCTGGAACGGATTATCATCACAGACGGACGTTGAATCTTTAAAATTTAGCGATAATGTGCACCGCCGTTTTCACAGGGGTGATATTGGACAGGACGCTCGTCCAGCACCGATGAACATCTAATGGAATACTAAACATATTTCCTATGAAATATATTACCGGGTAATATTATTTTATGGATAAATTGGATAAAATCCTTTAAAATATACTCGCTTACTTCAAGATTAACAGTAGTGTACATGTAGTTAATATGTACATTCGTTTTTTATACAGATAAATATCTATAGAGTAATCTTTTTTGTCTTTTTTTCATTTCAAGACTTGGAATGCCTTAAAATGTATTAGGAAAACAATTTCTGAAGAAAAAAAATAACGAGTTAAACCATCGATTATGGAGCGGAAAGGGGGTGTCTTGTCCACAAGTAATGCAAGATCGTGTTTGTATTTCTTACAGAACTGCATGGGAACAGATAATCTTTATTTATAGACAATAAAAAAGGTTGATTGTATCATGTTTCACTTAAATTTTCATAGAAAATACCGAAAGCGTACACCACTGTTTACGTTTTTTAAGCATTATAAACTTGGTCAACATAATTATCTAAAATTCCTTGTAAATTATAAATTAAACCCAATTTTAATTGAAAACACTGACGTCAATATTCGATCAGCATGATAAATGTATATATAATTAATAAGTGTAAATACATGTAAGAACTTTTCCATTCCCAGGTGCTGACCTTCAATAAGTAAGTGTAGGCCGGCAGTGGCAGATTTAGAAGTATTTTGTCATATATAAAACACTTTCTGATTATGCTATAAAACACAAGAATCCTTTCTGACACAATTAATTTTGTCAAATAAAAATCTGCAACAATACAGTGACAAGGATAACAAGTTTTGAAAAGAAATTTTCAAATGGTGACTGCTATACATGTAATCCAAGCTTCCAATCTACCCCCCCTCCCCCCCCCGAAAAAAGTTAGCTATTGTCTTTTGACATTCATGAATCCCAGACATATATAAATTGAAAACGAATAAAACATACTTTAAAAAGCTGATGATTTTCAATAAAAATGTTAAAAATAATCTTTTTCCTAAAGTCAAATAAAGTCAATGTCCACTATGAAAGAGGCGCGTTTTAAATTGGAGGTACATTGTACATGTAGGATTAAATGTAAATTGATTGTCTGAACCATCCCAACTGATGTCGTTAAATTACTTTTTGACGCTGTAAATATTGATTGAATATTTATCATAGTTGCGAAGACTGAAGAAATTGTTTCAAGTACATATTTTCAACATGATTGCTCTTTGTGACGTCATTTTTTTCAATGCATTGCGTCACTAATTCACATGTAATGTCCCATAGTAAATTTCACTGAGAAAGGTTCATATGGTTTTCATTTGCATAAATAATTGTATTAAATTATTTTTTTTTTCAAATGCAGAATTGAATTTAAAAGACAATTAAAAAAAAAAATAATAAAGCCTTCAGATATAGAATTAAACAATTAATTTCTTTAAAAATATAGATTTTATTGTGGAGAAAAGGTGACGTCTATCCAAAATGCAGCATTTTTTACTTCAGTTTTTTGTAAAAACGGATGTGGCCGCACTTTTGTAAGGTTATTTTTTCTCTTTAATATTAAAAATCGTAGTGTATTTGTTCTTTCTGCAAAGTTTCGCATACATACTCGGATGCGGCAATATCGAAATATAGACTTGAAGAGGAGGAAAACGTCCAAAATAGGGGAATTCCGGAATATTAGACCGGTTTTGAACGTTATATAAATAAAAGGGCACGTGAGTTGAGAAAAATTTATTCCTATTTCACACACAGGTAAACCTTAACAGTTAATTGATACAATTGATAGAATGTAATCGTGCGTTTAATTTTTGCTGATTTTACAGGGCCGTAAATCGGTCTTAACGTACCCAGCTCTTTTCTTTCACCAATCACCAACCTTTCCATGTTATAATGTGAAATGAGTTTATGAACTATGTTTATATTTCAATCTTTTATTTAAATGAACAACAAAACAAATAAATTGAGTCTCAAACAAATTGCCAGGACCAATTTTCTTTGGTCGCCCTAAAGGGAGAAACATTTGAAAATGGATAGAAATGCACATCATATTTATGCAGCATTTTGCCTTTTCAATTTACATTATTTTTATAAATTGTTTTGTATGAATAAAATGAAAACAAGATTAGTTTAACCGATTTTATTTTTCCATTTAAAATAAATATATGTATTGATTTACCTCGAATATCGGCAGTCGAAAGCGAGTATCGTACAGTCGTACTAAGGATCCGTTTCGTTAATTAGCCTACCCTTTCAATGCGCGGAGAATTCGATTTTAGCGAGCCTGGAATCGTTTTTGTTTAATCATTTTGAATGTATTAAAATGTTCAAAGATTCTGAAATACCTTTACTAGTACCGGTATTAAATGAAACGGTATTTTACATGTATTTCTGAAGTAGCTATTCGGTACGGGATTGGTACCGAGTACCAATATTCATGACTTAATAATTATGTATTTATTCAATTTTCTTCATGATTTATCCAAATACAGTGCTTTAAGTTCCCTTCGACTTGATATCGTTTCACCGTGTGTGGTCAGATTCCAAAGGCACTGGTTGCAACTCTTTAACTTTGAATCAAATTAAGCAAATAAAAATGAATTACCTTGAGTTTTTGTTTTCCTAGATTTGTAAATTCATGTATATTAATCGCTTAGCTTGTTATTGTCTGTCACATTTTCGATTCTTGATTCAAGTTGTAAGAAAAATGAACAACATTCATTATTCTTACCATAAAACTACTTTAAGAAAAGAAAATGATCTTACCATATGCAGTTGCAAAATTCCCTATCAGTATTAATTCAACAAGAAGACGAAACACCACCCTGTTGTCCATAACGTTAGATGTAGAATAATTTGAATCCAGGAAGTAATGTTAAGAGGGTTTTTTTTTAAGTTTTAACCTTTTCTGAATGAGACAATAAGGTCAAGTACAAGAGTTATATATTATATATATATATATATATATATATATATATATATATATATATATATATATATATATATATATATATATATATATATATATATATATATATATATATATATATATATATATATATATATATATATATATATATATATATATATATATATATATATCTTCGGGGTGGGGGGGGGGGGGATTATATTCATAGTCGAACTTACCAGCACAGTTCTCTACCCGTTGCTTACAAATGAATTTTATTACATTTTCAGCATAGAAAAAACGTATTCATTGTATAAAAAACAATTCAGCGTGTTCAAAGTATGAAAGAATCTCAAGGTGATATTCTGTAACGGAGCAAAAAATATATCAGAAGTGGAAAAAAATCCAATTTTCCTTCCCATCATGAAGAGTGCTGGGAAAATTCTTCCTGCTCTATTATGAGAAAGAGAGAGAGAGAGTAAAAAATTCTAAGATAGATTGAAATGCCAAAATTTCTTTAATAATATTGTTGAAATCCATGTTTACAATTTCACAAAAACAAACCTATGAGGTTTTAAGCCTTCAAATACGACTCCACATCATATTAAAATCATCGTCGGCCTTTCCTGACATTGAATGCAAAAATAGGTACAAACAATGATTATCAGAGAAAAGGATGTTACGGAAACTTTGGTAGAATATTACTGTGTGAAGCACATCATGGAATATGCCAGCTGAACAATTGCTAATCACATGTCAGGTTCATAAAATAAAGATCTTTTTATTAAGCTAATGTATGAAAAATATGTTATGTAATTCAGCTACAGATTGCAGTTTTCGCAATACTTCCTTATTTTTATTTTCCTCTGTATGAAGTTGTTTTCATGATAAAGTCCTTTATTTCAGTGAATCATTTCTTTAACCCTTATTTTTTTCATTATAATCCGTATCTTTCCAATTGATACATGCTTCAAATCCTTGAGTAAACTTCCGTCGAGGCACCCTTTGCATGCCTTACCCTCTTGATTGATGAATATAAATAACAAGTCGTTGTTTTAACCCCCAAATATTAGTAAATATTCAAGAGGATTGCAAATGAAAAGACGGATGTTGCACTCAATACGTCCCATCACCTTTTTTGGAGATAATACAAGAAGATATGATCAAGTTCTTCCGATTTCTTAATCCTTCACATGTATTTGAATAAAACTGAATCCCTTTTCAAAACATCTTTGAGACAAATATGTTTTACATTTGTTTATTTTTAAATTCCTCTTAAGAAGAAGGTGTGTGACGGTACATATAGTCATTTTGTACATACTGTCGGCGACAATATGTTTCTACTCTCACTGCAGATATTGCTGTCCATCTGTACATATTGTCGCTGGCTGAAAAGTTAAACACGTACATAATGTCGCTGGTGATATCATGCCTTTCCTTCACGGTACATATTGTCGCCGGAAATTAATGCTTAAGGTAGGTCGCGGGTTTACTGCTTAAAAATTCTTACGAGAAAACATATCCTGAAAATTTGATATGATGTTCCTTAGAATTTATAGCATTTTATCTGTAATTTTTATTAAATTTGTCTACGTGGTTTTAATGCTGTATTACTGTAAACGCGGTATAGTTTAAAGTATTCTTTTTACGCTTTGCTATTGAAATATATAGAAAAATGACGTTTTAAGCCAATTTTCCGGAAAGAGTTTCTTTAAAAAAGGTTGGATAACTTTTTAAAGACGTAGACGAATTACTCAGGAATTTCAAATATCCAGATGAGGTAAAATTAAAACTATTGAGATAAAAAAAAAATCAATATGTCTTCTCGCTAGTTTTTTTTTTTTTTTTTTTTTTTTTTTTTTTTTTTTTGTTTGTTTGTTTTGTTTTTTGTTTTTTGTTTTTTGTTTTGCTAAATAATTTCAAAGTTTTCTTTTATATTGCCAAAATGTTGCGTTTATGACGTTATATATGACTACAACGTCATGTGGTGAACGTAATCACGTTTACATACAAGTATAAATATCTTTACATTTGGAATATGAAAGATCTAAATGGTGACATAGTTGCAAAATGTAATTTTATTCATCTTTTCACTTATTGCGGAAAAAAGTTAGAATGACAAGCAACTTATTTACACTAGTATTGTGAAATTCATATTCTGCCCACAAGGTCAGAATGAACGGTATATTATTCATTTCTCTTGTATTAGAATAAAACATGCAGCGACAACACATGGCGAGTGATAAAATATTAATTCATGTATGTTCAGTAATATTTCAGACATAACACATGAATTTGACCACTTCATTCGAAAACATCCCAATACTGAGAAAAAAAAAGGGGGGGGGGGGTTACCGGCAATGTTCTTTCTATATTAGTCGGAAGCTGGTGTATAGCCTAACTATCAAACATTTCTTAATTTCGAATTTTCTCAATCAAATTTCCATACTCAAAATGTAAAACAGTTGCATTCAGCTTATACACAGAGAGCTTTTTTTATAGAAAAAAAAAAATGTACTTGATACTTGTAAATTGTTTACAGTGTCATATAGGTCTGATAGTCCGATTTTTCAAATGCATTTGACAATTTGTAATCGGGAGGTCGTGAGTTCGAATCTCGAATCTCGGCCGCGACTGACCCAAGTCGATAAAAAAATACGTAGCAACTGTTCCTTCGCCAGGCGCTCGGCACTTTGAAGTGAAAGTTGCAGGTCCTTCGAATGAGACCTTAAAAACCGAGGTCCCGTGTCACGGCAGGCGTTGGCACGATAAAGATCCCTCACTGCTCAATGGCCCTAAGTTCCGAGTAAAGGTCAAAATTTGGTGACGTCTCTATATGAGTGAAAAATTCTCGAATGGAACGTTAAACAACATACAATCAATCACAATTTGTTAGCCTGCCTATACATAGCGAATACACGACATTCAAATACAAAATAAACAAATGATAATTATGATGATTGAAATAATAATAATAAATAACAGGAAAATACATGTACTGTAATTAAATTTCATACGTTTTTAGTGTTGAGGATTGATTTCATCCTGAAAAAGTTTCGCCCTGGCAAACATGGTGTAATACGCACTTCCCTTTGAGGTGCAAATTACTTCGCACATACAACCCTTCAAGGTTTTGGCTAAGAAATTTACAATAATTTTCTTTTTGCATACCATAACTTTTACGCTGACTCATTTTGATTGACTTTTAGCAGTTTAGTAACACTTACAATATAAATTATTCCTTTCATTTGGTATCGTATTAGTTTTTTCTAAGACATTACACATAATCACATCAGAATTCAGACTGCCATTTAATAATACCCGATCTTGGTTCATACATGTACGAGGTTTACGTACAATAGCATGCGCTTTGCATTAATCTACTTGATTCGTACCTGTAGACTATTTATGAAGTTATTTTCAGAGAATTATACGGGAAACAACGCAACGTCGCCTTTGTGACGTAACTGACGTCATAATCAAATGTGCACAAAACAACCGCTCGAATCGTCGAAATTGTATACCAAAATTTGATGACAAAAGCAAACCCGCGACCTACCTTAAATCTTTTTTGTAGTTTTGTGAATGTTATTGATGTGTAAATCACACCGACGTGTCTCGTATGCTATGGCATGCAGCACGATTGTGACGTTACATATTGTCGTCTAGTTTATATTGTCGCCGGTGACAATTTTTACCTACCTTCACTGCACATACTGTCGTCTATCAGTACATTTCGCATGATAATACAATGCAATGTTTCCATATATTGGTAAATCCGATAGATATGACAAAGCATTGCTTTTCTGGTTTTCATCAGATTTTTTTTTATATTCCTTAGTATATATTCTTATTTAAATTTGATGGCTCATTGTGGCCCTAGCTACGGAGTCAGGATTTGAAGGTACTTGTATTTCTTGAGAGGAGGATTTTGAAAGATTTTGTTTTCGTTATATTATATGAAAAACTTTGATAACCTATTGTAGCCCCCCCCCCCCTTCCCAGGGACATGAGCTGATCAAAACTGAATCTCACTTTTTAATGAAGCTTTGAAATAAGTTTCCAATTTTTCTGACATATTTTTTTCAGAAAATTTCTAAAAGAATTCACTCAATTATCACAAATTCTTAGCTACTTCTCTTGAAAGAGGGCATTGATCTTTAATGAAAAAAAATTGAATCTCCTCCACGGATGCTTTGTGGCATGTTTGGTTGAAATTGGTCAACTAGTTCTTACGAAGAAGCTGAAAATGTTAACGTTTTACAGAAGGACATACAGACAACCAATAGACAAAATGTGATCAGAAAAGCTCAGATGAACTAAAAATTTCAACCGAAACATAATTTATGTTGGAACGTGTATAAGAATAACGCAAAAATAATATCAAGATATTCAGTACTACTGAACAAAAAATTCAAAATATTTTAATTTCCAAGTATATATAACGAGAAAAAAGAACAGCTAGGTTAATTTATCAGATATCACAGACTAACGGACTCTTGACATATCATAGGGATGTACAGCAATCCTGAAGACAATTTTCTGACCAAAGCCTTTTCTCCCTTCAGATGGAGAGCTATGCTAAATTCAACTTGTCTGCTTATTAATCCACCATACACTTTGTTTATTCTCCTGTCTGTCTTCTGTCTCTCTGTGTCTGTGTGTGCCAATCCTCTCTTCTCTCTTCTCTCTCTCTCTCTCTCTCTCTCTCTCTCTCTCCTCTAGATCTTAGTAAATATTTTTCAACACAATTTACCGGCGACAAATGTACAAATATTCACAGTACATATTGTCACCGACGACAAATTGTGCAGATGCGTGACTGTTTGACTTCCATTATGCAAAAGGGAAAAAAAATGCTCGTACCGGTATTAATGGACTCCGGCGACAATGTACCGATGGACGAGGATATGTGCAGTGAGGGTAGG